AGGGCCTTGGGATTTTGATGGAGGATCAGCTGGCATGGAAGATAACAACAGTAAAACACGGTGCATTAAGCCTAACCAGCAGATCAAGGGTTTGCCACGCCGTTCCTCTCACTTCCCTTCAGAGCCTTCTCCAGACTCCTTCCTCCCGCGATGCTGCCAAGAAAAAGTCATTTAAAAATCCCCTTGTTTATCCCATCTATTTTTCCTATGAGATGGCTGCTGGCTTATGTGGAAGGACAAGACTCAGGCATGGTTGGAAAGTGTATAAAGACAACAGGGGACAAACACGGGATTGCTGGCAGATGGAGAACCGTCTCCCGGACACACAGCCTTTGCCTCCAACTCTTCACCTTACCTCTTGCCAACAGATGTCCTTCCCAAATTAACAGGTCTGGACCTTCATTAACTCACTTGTTTACGTACAGCCCCCGTCATCCTGTCGCTGCTGCAGTCAATACAGAACAGTGCCCGGGACGGGACAGCACACTGGCCACCCCCAGACCTCCCAGTTCAAGCCCAAGCTGGAGCAGCCTCCGCTCACCGCGGAACGCTGATGCAATCTGCACCGTTCTGCTTTTCCAAACCTACTCAGGTTGGGAATATTCCCAAGCACGCAGGCTTCGGGATGCCCACTGCTCATCAGGTTATGAAGTTAGCAGTCACTTAAAGTGATTGGGCATCTACCCGCTTTGTTTTGCTGTTTTTCTTAGGAAAATAATCAAGCTTCCCCCAGATAAGATGCAGTGGAATGAGATGGAAAGCGGGTACTATCCTGGACATTTCTGAGCGCAGCAGATGCACTTAACTGGCTCCTATTATTTATTTATTTACTGGTGGAGAGAAAACGCTTGTTACCGAAGAAACCCAAATGCTGATAAGATGATGAGAGGTTTGCATGCTGGTTGATGGTCTCACTTTCGCTTATCCTAAGTGAATACAAGTATCTATAACTAAATATTTCCCTTAGGGTACTGATGACTGAGGTATGTTTATTGCATTGACTGAATTTATATATATAATCAGCACAATAAACATTATTAAATTGTCTGAGTAAAATCAAAGCATGAAACACACAGTCAGTGCTGAATTCTAATGATGCTGAATGCCCATGATTGCATGGGGAAAGGATCTTAACAAGCCTTGATTTGAGCTTTGGCATCCGCCTCACAAATCACACGAAATGTTCTCTCTTTAATAGTGCTGAATATTGATAAATGTCTCTGCACGGCACAACAGGGAAGTTGGTCTCTATTGGCAATCTTTACCAAAGTGTGTTTTTTCCTTCTCTACACTCAAGGGTTTACCCTGAATGATTTAATTATAATTTTCCTTGTGTAAGACAAATTAAAGAGGAGAGTAGGAGTGTCATGCCAAAGCAGATTATTTATCTCCTTAACAGATTGCTGTGCACCAAACCCCAGAGCTGCTGCTGCTGCTACTTACAGAAACTGGGCGAAATGTGGGACAAAAGCATAGATGTAATATACATTTAAAGTCCAAATGAATGAAAGCATTAACCCATTATTTATAGCTGGAATTGTTTCATTCCTGTGGAAGCCATACACACAGAGCACGCAGAAACCAAGCGCAGCCCCACGATGCTCCCTAGTCCCTGCCCAGGAGCGGAGGATGCTTCCTGCTTTTGAACGTATTTTTGCTTTTCAGACATCCCGGGGTGGCTCTGGCCACCCGCCTGCCGTTTGCTTTTTTGCCATAAAGGAGGACTTTTGTCCTCACTCAGCTCCGAGCGTGGCCGGTGGCACCGGTGGCACCAGAGCTGCGTCCCCGCAGCCTGCGCAGGACTAAAGCTTTGCTGTACGCAGCCGTGAGGCTGGGCTCGCGGCACGGAGACGCGTGGGCATGCCGAGCAGCCAGTGACTGTTTCTCCTGCTATTTTAAACCCCTTGTTTATAACCGTGTTTTTACCCAAGACGTACAGCTGAGCTGCTGCTCGCCCAGTGACTTTCACGCAGGTGCCGCTGCGGTCAGCCGAGTGCCTCCTGTCTCGCAGGTCTTCGAGCAGCCCCGCAGCCTCACCTGTGGGATCAGGAACCCCGTAAAACACAGCCTGAACTATCCCAGCGACATGTGCCAGAGATGACAGTGATGATAGTAACTCCCACATAACCAACTTGCCTCCTGCAGCCCACTCCTTCTCAAAAGCCCAAGAGGAAGGGGGGGAAAAAACAGCTTTACAGCACACCCTAAAAGTTAATGTTACCTGTATATGATTATTTATTGCCGCTGGGCAGTCGTTATGATGTGGCTGTGCTTAACTGTTAGGACACTTACAGCTTTTACTATGTGCTTTTTATTGTTGTTTAAATCTAAATAAAGAGCTCTTGGTTGTATCAGACCAAAGCTAACAGCCAGTTGCACTGGAGGTGCAGGAACGAGAAGGGGGAAGCCACAATCCCCAAACCTGCCCCGGCCAGCCCAAGCTGCGGGGTTGTGCGATGGGAGATGGAAGGGCTGATACCCCTCTCGCGAGCCCTTCCGACAGCCCCATCTGACCCGAGCTTCAGCTCAGCACCACTTCCACAAGTCCCTTCGTATTTGCAAGCTGTTGGTGTGCTAAACCAGCTGGGTACAAGAACATACACGGGTTTCACTAAGTCTAGTAAACTCATGCTCCCACCAGACCCGCGATTTTTTCTAGTCTTAACCTTTGCAACCAAAAAAATTACCAAAACCTTGCTCGTGCCTGTGCTCTCTCTTTTCTAAGTACGCTAAAATTTCACCTTCTGTGAGCTTTCAAATATGCATTTGACAGCAAAGCACAGCTACTCTTTCCTCACTGCTCACTCAGTACCCCGCCTGTAGATAAATACCCTTTCAGAAAGGAAACCAGTGCAACACATCTCAACAAGAGGAGTTTCTGTGTCATATGAAATCCAGGCAGGCACCACTGTGCCTGATGAGACTGCAACAAAACCCTTAAGTGCATCAGTAGGCATTCTTCTGCGTGTAGTCTCTTGCTCTACTTATGGATAAAGATGTAATTCAATCACTGCAGCAAATGGATGGCATAAACCCTCCATGTACCAAACAGAGGCAAGATAAAGCGAAATCTGTAGCTCTCTTATTTGTATTCCTAAATATACCTATTTTTGTATTTTGATAGCATAGAGAACTCAGTAGATACGTAAGAAAAGTATAATGACAAGCTTTAACAATACAGCTATCAATTCAGCCACTGAGGATTTAAAATCTTCTAAACTAAGACAATCTGAAACAATACCATGGCACGTTTAGGCTTTCCTAATTAATTTATTTGGAACTTTACTAATAAAAGCATATGTATTGCCTTGTTTGTAGATCCCGGTTGCCTCCAGGCCACAATTACAGGACTCAGACACATGGATTTCCAGTTCTGCTTGACAGCATACACAGAGAAAATTCTTACTTCAGAACAGATTCCTGTATTTCCACTGCGTTTCAAACAAAACAGCAATCACATACCGTTTCCTCAGTTAGATTGCCATTAGCAGACAGCACATGCCTCTATTCAGTGAAAGAAGATCCATTTCACTGCATGGGTTTTCACTTTATATACTGGGTAAGAAAAACACAGATAAAAAATTTATTGAAAAGTCATAAACCCATCTTGTTCAGCTCTATATGCAGCAAAAAGGGAATTTAGTTGTTTAATAAACATCAAATTGTTTTTAGTATCCCATGCTAGTCTTCATGAAAACCATGTCCTTGACACTTATATGCATTATAAATGTATACGCTGACGCTCCCCCCCATGTCCTTGCAATGGATATAAAATGATGCCTTACACACACAGAGCAGTTCTTTCAGCAGTGGTGCACTCTCCTTTAAAATCTATCTATTCCCAACAGCACTATTTTCTTAATATTAGAAAGATATAAGAGGTATTTATATAGCTTCCCTATCAATCTACTTTCAGACCACCAGAAATATAAACTCTATGGCTTAAAAATTCCATTATCCTCTTTCTAATGAATGAAAGGAGGACGGAAAGACAAAGCCATCAGTTTCCATAAAATCCAGCTTTCACTAGTGTCTGCTATAACATTTCGAGATGGGCAAAAGGACTCTCCTGAATGCAAAGAAGCACGGCCCTCCCTGCTGCGCCCGCGCTGCCTGCGCGCTCCCCGAGACCCTTCTCCTCCGCCGGCAGCGACACCGAGGCTGCAGCAGGCACAGGCACCCACGGCCCGAGCTCCTCTGGGACCGTCTGTCTCACCGTAAGCAAAAGTTATGTTGTTAGACACGCCTCAGTGAAATCTGGGGGTGTAAAGAAACAAACCTGCAATAAAGCATCCTTTGGAATAAGGCAGAGCCCGCGCCGAGAAGCGCGTCAACAGACAACCCCTGATTTAAGCCATTTCTTTTAACAATGCAAGCCTAGCAAGTATAAATTAACTCACACTTTTAAAAGCCAAACAACATCAGCTAGCTAATTTTATCAGCACTTAAAAAAAAAAAAAAATCCACTTTGTTTTAGAGAAACCTGGTGAACTCATGCCTATCTTGTCTTGTGAAAGCAGGTAAACACAGAGTAAAAAAAAAATATATATATATAAAAAAAGGCAAACACATTAGATGAGACGGGGCACTGAAATTCAGCAGAAAAACAGGTGGTAAAACAGCTTGTACTGACCAACAGATTTTCCTCCTCATGCCCTGCCTGCAAACCCAAAGCACATCAAAAGTAACACCACCGGTGATGCAGAACTCAAAAAACCAGCTTACAGTCTTCACACGCTCCCCCAATACCCTTATCCAATGCACTTCTAATTAGCTAACTGTGCCCACATTGATCCAATTAACAAGCCATAAAGATCCGAACAAAAGGAGCACATTCTGCCCAGTGGAGCCTCCATTCAGCCACGCCAAGATCAGACAGAGCAAGGCGTGGAGGCCAAAACCGAGGCCAAGGCGGTTGGCCACCGCTCCCAACAACTTTTGCCATCGTTTCGGCACGCCGTGCGGAAACGCTCACGGGTGGCAACCCCACGGGCACCTACCTCTCCCGTTTAGGAGTGTGGACCGATAGCTGTCCGTTAGTTGAGGCGTGCGGGTTGATGATTAAGGAGGTCTTAGACGGGGCGGAGGAGGAGACGCAGGTGGTGGACAGGTCCAGGCTGCTGTGGTTGTTGCTGGCTGCCTCCTCCGCTGTGTGCGAGCTTGTCACTTCCTTCCAGAGCTGCTGCAGTTCTGTTGGAATCATGCCTGAAACAAACAAATTGGATAATTAAATCAATTAACAGCTAATTCGGCCGTCTTCAAACAGTAATTAAATCAAAGAGTCAGTAAACAAAGCCTAGTGTTAGTTTTGTGTGTGTGTGTTTTTGCGCATTTTTTTTTTTTTTTTTTTTTTAATAACTAAAAGCTAATACTCAACACTGCACGACTGCTACGTTTTCTAGTGTGGTACCTGCAATACCTGTGTAATGTAAAATCCAAGGTGTGGGGCAGGGGGATCCACACAACGTGACACCTACCCCCAAACAGCACGTTAATTATTATTTTTTGTAATTTTTAGAACAGAGGGCTCATTTCCAAAGTCCCTGTTCAGGCAGAAAAAACAGCTGAGCTTACAGCAAGGCTGACAGCAAAGGTGGCCAAGGGCTACTCTGCAATCAGCTGGAGAAATGTAATTTTATTCCCCTCATCCCCCCAATTTCTGTTTTTTTTTTTTTTTTTTTTTTTTTTTTTTTTTTTAGGGAAAGCGAATACTTTCTAACCTGTTTTTAAGATAAAGGAAGGTCTTAGAAAAAAAAAACAACTCAGTTTTATTATTATGACAACATGAACCACAACATGACTAATTTTGTGCTTAAGTTTTAAATGATGACAAATAGCTTTGTTATTAAATACAGTTTTTATTAATCACTTTTAGACATAAATTATGAATTCATATTGTCTTCCTGAAATGCTTTTCAAATTTTAACAGTCAAATTGATTATACTATGATTATTTCATTAACACACCTATCTTTCTCATTAATTTTGGTTTCTCGAACTGCTCACTTAATTGATGGATGTGTCTACTGAAAAACTGTATAACTTTCTATACAAGTAACACTATTATTACTGTCATTTCTTAGATCAATGCTAATGAGCCATTCAAAAGTAAAACGAAAACATAAGCTTCAAGAAATAATAATAATAATAATAATAATAATAAAAAAAAAAAGTATTTCCTTAATTGTGCCCAAATGGACACCACCAGGGTCAGGACAGAGCATTCAGTAAATAACGGAAGTGAAAACTTTGTGAACTCCAGTGGGCCAAAGCGAGGGCGGGAGGGGAGCCGCGCGTCAGCGTGACACGGGCTCACGCTGAGATCATACGTTTGGATAAAGCTTATGATTGTGACATGATCAAACAAGTCAAGTTTCTCTCACTGAAGACTACTTCAGTGCTCTTTCAGACAAGGCCATGGGAAAAAATTAGCAGTAGAGACGCATCACTTAAATATTCAGGGTAAAAAAAAAAAAAAAAAAAATAAAAAATAAAAGCCAGGGTCTGTGTGTTTTTTAAAGAGGTTTCTCATCACTGTGCTTCCAGATCATCATCTGGATGACTGTTCATTGTTTCACCATGTTGTAGCACTGGAGCTATCCTAAGCAAACCTGCCATTTTCTGAGTGTATAGCAGCAGCTCACACAGGCATGTATCTCACCAAACCTAAGGTATTGAAATAAAATAAAAAAAAAAAAAAGGCAGTATGCATTATATTCATTTGAAACACATAATAAAAAATGCCAAGGTCTAAATTTAATTTATTTTTGTCATTTAGAATACAATGGATAGATAATCATCTCAACGTGATCAGCCAAACATCTTTACTTTGCTAAACTGTTAAAGATTTTAATTATGCTAGCTTTGGAGAGCACTGGTCTAATGAGGCGATAGACTCCAGAGAATCTAAGTGGTTAAGAACTGTGAAATGAGTCTGATAGGATTTTTTTATATTCACCGTGGATCGTTTGCATATCAAAGAGGAGTAAATTATTGCACGACAGACCAATAACCTTCCCCGCCTTTCCAAGAGTAGCATTAACAAAAACAGTTGGTCTTCGGTAACGGTTCACTACAAAAAAATGCTGAAATCCTTAAGTATCTGCAATTAATATATATTATGAAAGAAGCTTCAATTTATACATTAAGTGATCAGATATTCTTAGGACACATCCGTTTCTCTAAAGCCACGTCATTTTCCTTTCATCAGACCCAAATGCCAATTATATTTTGATGGATTTTGTCCCAAATGAGCATTTAGTTATTAGATATATTCAATTATTACTTGTCCCCTGAAATTAAACCTCTGAGCAAATTAAACAAAGAAAAAGGTCAGTACACAAGCCTATGTCCTGTTTTGCTGTGTCGGGGCTATTATTTTCAAACACCTTGCGAAGTGACAGTGTGGGATGTATTTTTAGCTAACACGCTTGACAGGACTGTCTGCACACTAACAATTACCTGTGAGCACGGCTGACCCTTACACCACTGTTTACTCAATTGAAACAATAGTGAATAGACTTGTCTGTTGATGATAACATATTGATATGAGACCATATGAGTCGACACCTATTTTTATTTTCCAGGATAAGCAAATAGGGAAAGAATAACTGCTTTTTTTTTTTTTTTTTTTTTTTTTTTTGTCACCACCCCCTTATCTGGATTTCTGCAGGTTTTTAATTAGAGACAGGCTAGCACCCACTCTCCTCTCCCTGTCCCCCTTTCTCTTCTCCCCTTCCCCTCTCCTCCCGGTCACTTCTGGGTCTACTAATGCAAGTTCTTCCTTGAGATAAAGCAAGTGTTATAGCCATTAAAATACACATACACATAATATTTACACCTCACTGTAGATCCTCTAAAAGTCAAGAGGTTTGGTCTAACTTCCTACACAAGTGTAACTCATATTAGCACTAATGACAACTACACTGCATATTAAAAGAAAAATAAAATACACCCAGTCGTGTGGGGAAAAAATGCTGGAGATAATAAGGGTTTCAGGCTGGGTGACATTAATTTAAATCGTTAACTGTGATGTCATACACGTCCGCACACAACCCGTCGCTTAAAAATGACTACATCGCTCAATTAGTAAAAGAAAATTTTAAAAAAGCCTCTCTCTCTCCCTTCCCCGAATTTAGTTCTTTTAGAATAATTCTGGAGAGAATTCCTAACTAGCCTGTCACACTGGGCAGCTGAAAGGTATGCTCATTACTCACCCGGTAAAATGGTTAAATAAAATAATAGAACAAATGGTAAAAGCAAGTCAAATAGATCCACGAACACTTGCAATAAATTATGTAATTTACCATTTAACAGTTTCATTTTAACGGCAAGAGCTAAATTTTAAGTCAGATTCCCAGAACTGCGCTGCAATTACTCGAGATCACTACTGCCAGTGCTGCAACTTCGTGCGTACCAGTAACGGGATTTAGACCCGAAATTGCCAAATCTACAGGAGCAATCGGGCACCCAGATGTCTCAGTCCTATTATTTTCACTCACTGGTGATCTGAAGTGTGATTTGCAGTTTCATTTTGCAGATACTAAAGATCTAGCTCTCACAGCTCAGAACACCGCTGAAATGTGGTTTATTTTTAAATTGCTACTATTTACAGATGTAAAATCTAGATTATAGATGTGTCTAAATACAAAGCAGCAAAGATTACACAAATATAACATTAAAGGATGTGCTGTTTTGTGTAAGACAATAGGCGAGCAGTAAAAACTAAAATGAAACTAAAATACAGTTTCAAACAATGTATTAGTTCTAAAAGAATAAAAATATCAGTTATGAAGTACCATTCTCTCCTTAGAAACATTTATTACTATTACAGATACTTAAGAATAAAAGCAAAATGCTTTTAACCGAACTCATAGCTACATTTAGTAGAAGGATGATTTTATTTTTTTTTTTTATATGTGCATTTACACTATTTGTCTCAGTCTTGCAAACTGTTCTGAAAACAAAAGGGCATGATACATGTAATTTTTTTTTTTTTTTTTAAATAAGAAGTGTCCATTACCAATTATTTTAAACTATAGCTCTGGCTCTTCATTGCATTTTTCAGGACAACTAGTCCCCTTCATTATGAAAGAAAATGTAGGCACAGGTTTAAAAAATGTATGTTGTGGGGACAGTTGACAGATTACTGCTCACGGAACTCAATTTCCCAACCCCAGGTATCACCGGCTCAAAGACAAACAGAGTTGCTCAACCTCTTTGTGTCCTTGTACCTCCATACCCAGGTGACCATGTTCAAGCAAGCAGAAAGTTGATTTAAACCTCATAATGACATCAGTTTTAAGCCATCATCTCTCTGATAAAAAAAAAAAAAAAAAAAAAAAAAAATTGTGCTGGACTGCAACCTGCCTGAATTCTCAAGTTACTCTTTCCTCCCGCCGCCGAGCCCCTGGCTCCAGCCACCCCCAACGCTCACAGCTCATTTCCCTGCAAGAACCAGCCCTTTCTGCTGATGTTTATGTCCTCTCCGGCGTGCAAGTCGGCACCCCTTAGGTTTTAAATACGCTTCTTTGCGAGGACTAATAGTTACACTACCCTGCTAACCATATCAATCAATGCCACGACTGCTGAATTACCTACTGGTGTCTCCGATGTGTTACCGCACAGATTACACTTCATGCATCACCACATTCATTTCTTTCACATTACACATGAGCGTGTCTTGTCACTGCCCAATTGCCCTCCTTTGGACAGCTTAACTGATGTACTATACAATGAACCTTACCGAGCAAACTTAATAGTATAGGAGCTGTGGGAAAAATTAGAAAGGTTGAAGCTTGAGCCCGGTGGGTGTGTGCGAACAGCCTGGGATGCTTCCAACAATAAATCTGAAGCGCAATTAACGCACGTTACAACGTTTTGCAAGTATAAATGGCATTTCATCTACGTGCCCTTTTTCCTGGACTCACTCCATGCTTCCTCCCCATCCCACCACGTGCCGACGGTGCCCGATCGACTGCCGCCCCGGGCCTGATCCTGTGCTCCCAGCCAGGCTCCCCCCTTCCCGCCCATCAGCCCAGGCAGTCCTGATCATCGGGACCAGACTAGACCAGGTGTCCAGCTCTGGGATGCTGGAAAGCTAAACCGAGTCTTGCAGAGGCAGGTATCAGGTCCCCGAAAGCTTAGCCTCTCAAGACACGAGTTAGGCGCGCAGATACTTTTGTGGATCTGGCAAAAATATGCCCGAATAAACCACACCAGCCACAGGGCAAAGCAGTCTCCGCTCCCCAGTTCTGTCTCCACTTATCCACGTAAATATTCACCAGCCACCTCGCTCTCCTTTTTGCAGCTACGTACACGCAAAAAAGGAGAGTGAAGAAGCAATTTCGCCCCGTCCCCCCCATGTAACTGAACAGAGCTGAATGTAAATTCATTATATGGTTTAGCAACTAGTAGCAGCCCTAAGGCTGCTCTGAAGAGCCCAAATCATTCAACCCGAGCTGATTCGAGTTGCTGAGGTTGGTGCTTAAATTTATTACGGGGCAAGGGAAGGAAAAGGTATGATTATTCAGAAATACCAGCATCATGGTTGAAAGACCTGGTCTTCCCTGAGCCATGCCAACTTTGAACAGTCTGCCTTAATCACAGCAGCCAGAGCTCAGGCAAGTCTGTTTAAATGTCCCAAGGCTTGCAGACAAACCCAGTTTAAAAATAAAATAAAATAAATGCAAGCCAAAGAGGGAAAGAGAGAGAAAAAACCTCAGGTTATAATCACTGTCAAAAGTATCGTGATGTAAGTAGTTATTGTTTCAATGTATTGGTATCTTTAAAAAAAAGATTAAGAAAAAATAGGAATTTCAGCAAAGCAGTAACTTCTTGCAAAGTGCAGGACTGAATAAAGATGTAGGAGGATCTAATTGTCAATAACACCATTAAAATTATACGAAGTTAATCCCAATTTACCTCAGCAGGGAGAGAGGAATGAAGCTACAACGCGCACAGGCAGTGAAATGAAGGCCGTGTAACAGGCATGGAGAGGAGACACCGCCACCTCTCCCTCTCAGCTGCAGCAAAGGGCAATCAAATTTCTACAGTTTGGCAGCGTGCGGATCAGAGCTGCTCTGCGCCCGGCTCCTCGCCAGGCTGGAACCAGAAAGGGCCCAAATAACACATTTAGAAAAGGAAAAGCTGCTCTCACACTACTTTTAGCCATGAACCCAGCACCAAGAATCGATTAAGACGCCTCCTGAGGAGGATTTCAAGCCCAGATTAGTACAACCAGCAGCTCCGACTCCGCCAGACCAGCTATAGCTGTGCAAATGGAATCTGATCTCCAAACCGCCTGCCTCCCACTAGCCAGAGCGGTCCACGATTTCAGGGTTGCCCTTCTCAAAAAATATCTTCATAATGCCCACCTTGCCTCTCGGGATTTTTCTGTGCTTATTCTTTTATGAGCTTATGAGATCTCTCCCTCCCTCCTACCAAATGACGATTTGGCCCGCGTGCATGCCGTCGCTTGGCCAGACTGCCAGCAGCTCCCAAACCCCTCACCTACCTTGTGCAAGGGGTTGCAAAGGCAGAGTAGGCTGGCCAGGCTGGATCGTTAGCAGCCCCTGACGCTGCAAAGACAGGAGGTGCTGCTGTTGCAACTGCTGCATCTGTAAGAGTTGCTGCTGAAAGGCCAACTGCTGCGTAGCCACCTGCTGTTGCTGGGGCTGGAAAAGAAGACAAAATGAAAGAAATAATTGAAAATGCACATTTGTCGATACAGAGCAAAGCGTTAACAGAAGATTTTTCAGGGCTCCTTGTCCCAACACACTTCAACTTCTGATCGCAGTCACCTGGTGTCAAGGCAAGCCAGCGAGCCCACCACCCCGTATCGAAGACCCCAAGGCACGCTTAGGTGCTAGAGCTAACCACGGGGCTGCAGTTGATTCCCACCTCCAGTGGTTACTTCCATCCTACCCGAACGCCTCCTGACATCCCAGCTAAAAAAAAAGTATGCAGCATTCCTTGGTCACCCTGGTCCTCGTGGTTGTGTTTTACCCCAAAAGTGGCTGCACTTCAGCGGCGGGTAAAGCAAACGCTGCTGGCAGCTGTGGAAGTCCGGGGCAATTCTTCGAGGCAGAGAACATGTAGAACGTGAGATTCGCACCACACGATCACATCACACTGGGATGCAATGAAAAACAACCCTGCGCTGTGCTCTGTTTGCTCATGCAAGGGCTGTCTCAACGATTAAGGCAATACGACTGGTTTAATTTATGGTATTTTATACTTACTCTCTCTTATTCATCCATCAAGCCCCACAATACTTCCCGTTATGTTCGGAATCATTCTGTGCTGTATTTAAGGTTGTTACTTCTGCACTTTGAAAATTTTAATTATTCTCACTAGAAAGAAGATGGAGTTGCTTTACTCCACAGGGATGTGAACTCTGAACCTTCGAGGTGTAAAAGAACATGTTGCTTTTCTCACTACTGTACCCGGAGAAGCTTTTAACTACTCTGTTTATCACTTCTGACATAAATAAATGAGAAAAAATCAGACCTTTGAAGAAGAAAAACTTCATCTAATATTGTTAATTAGCCATGACAAACGATGAAATAACATTGTAAATCTTTCATAGAAACAGCCACTAGATTTTAATTACACACATTCATAATTTAGCAAACAACATCTTACTTGAATGTGAGTGTTTAATATGTACAGTACTCCAGGCTTCAGAGTCCTTAATTTTGCTCAGTTAAGGAAGCCTCTAGGTTTTTGCTTCCATGCTCATCTTGTATTTTATTTGCTTTGTTCTTTAAAATCCATGAAAGGCTTTGCATTTTGATAAATATCTTTTTATTTATTGTACAATGACAGGAGGAAAACTTTTGTTGTGTAAAACATCAATACATCATGCCAGTGTTTAGCAGTTCCTTGTGCTAGCCAAAAAAAATTAATGTAGATTTCCTTAGTAATTATCTGAGTGATAGAAAGATAATACAGTGCAGTAGTACAATAAATAGAAGGAAATTATCTAATATCCCTAATCTGCTAGGAATCATATCAAGGTGGAGGTCTTATACACATTATGGCTAACAATTATGGAAAGAAAAATTAACTCTTCCAAAACTGCATGCTTTCACAAACAAACCCCAGCCGGATCCCAAGCTTTTTGTCGCCCTTCCTTGACATGGAGCCAGAGGATCACTGGCCCCATTCCCTGCTGCTGTCAAGCAGGGAAAAAAAAAAAAATCAAAAAAAAAAAAACCCAAAACCCACTGGAGCTGTAGGAGCAGGACTGACGGACACCAGCCAGGGCTTTGGCCCCCACCTTCTCCTACCACCATGCCCCATCAACCTTAATACTGCAGCCAACTGTACTGACAGACAGTCAGTCAATATGTCCTACTTATAAAGTCAATTTTTCTCATTTCCAAAGAAAACTGATGACTTCAAGAACACAGTTAAACAAATAGGTGTTTAGATATTCTGGATCTCAGAGAGTTTTCATTTCTTTCCAACAGCTTGCTCAGACAGATCCAGTTGTTGCAACTATTTGCAGCAGCACCAGATGAATGCAATCCCCAGCACTAGTTACATTAAGAGTTAAAGTAATGTTTGCCTCCATAAATACTAATTTTTGAAATATATATGTACTTAATATATATAATAATTGGTATTACATAAAAATCTAATTTCAGTAAGCTGTGGTTTACCTACCTGCCACCTGAGTGTAAAGGGAGCATGTTTTGTGTTGTTTGTTTTTTGGTTTTTTTTTTTTTTTTAAAAAATCCCTTTTATATAAATTGACTGATGCCCATTTGGTTGTCTTCTCAGCTATCCTAAGAAAAGCTCTTGAACACTCTCTACTTTGAAAAGCCAGGATATAAAAGTATACAAGGCCCATTGTCCAAGAAAGAATTTAAAAGCAAGACACGTTGCCAAACTGCGCTCCCCACCCAGTTACCAAACACAGGATACAAGGCAGTTTGTTTACTTCTCACAATTGAATGCATACAAAAAAGGTCTCAGTGCAGTCCTGTTGTCAGGTCAGTAGTCAGTGTTAAAATGCTGAAATATCCTGATAAAACTTGCATTTTTGATCCCCTCCCTAAAGCTTCTGTCAAAGGTCTGTTTTCCTTTCTTAGGTTACTCCCTACTGCCTAACATAAACTGTCACAAATGCCGGAGGACAAACGGCCCTGCTCGGAAAACAACCACCAAACCGCCCAGCGCCGCGGCACCAAGCGGGGTCCTCCCGCGGCTCTCAAGCCCCCCCCCCCCCCCCCCCTTTGCCGTGGGGGGACCCCACTTTGCCGGGGGGAGCTGCAGCCCCACAGGCGTGGGGCCGGGATCTCACCCCGGCGCCTCTTGCTCTCGCTACCGGGCAGCGCGCGGCGCTCAGCCCCGGCTACGGTGCGTAGCCCTCGAGTAAAACCCACCAGAAACCTTACTGGGGTCCGTCTGTTATCCTGCTTGGGGGTCCGATCCCTCTTTACCGGCGGGGCTGGGGAGATTTGTTGTGTTTTTCTTCTCTCGCGACAGGACAATAGGACAAGGCGCTAACAAAATGACTTGGGGGGGGGGGGGGGGACGCAGAACATGAACGCGCTTGTTCCCATCTGTCAAGGTACAAACTCAGCCCTCGTTAGCTCGGCAGCCGCCGGTCCCCACCGTGGCACTGCTCATCGTGTGACCCGGCCATCAGCTTTTAGTACAGGGGGTAGGAGGGAATAAAAAAAAATTAAAAAAAAATAAATAAAAAAAAAATGAGACCACCACTTGCATGCTAATTTAGCAAGAATAACCCCCTTACGGCAAGAAACATGGAGGCTGAACAAGCCTGCGGGATGAAATGCGTCGCTGAAACGGGCCTCTACCAAAACCATCAGCAAAAACACCCTCCCAAAACCCTGGAAAATGCCGAAAAGACTTGAACCCTTGTTCTCTTAACAGCTACCATGTTAAAATGATCTTCTTGAAACGGGAAGGAGTCCTTTCTTATTGTTGCTTTCGATACTGTAATATCAGAAGTGTGACCACACTAAATCAGTGTGTTAGATATTGAAATGCCATCACATTGTCTAACTTCCCTTCTCGTCTTTTTTAACACAAAGTATTTTTTTCTTTAAGCTCCAAGCCCTCATCTTTGTGTCTGAGATGCTCTCCTGTCTGACAACAGCAATTTAGAAGAGTTAACTTTTATCGTTCATTCTGCTGTGTAACTTTCCCCTTCAAATTTCTTTATCTGCCCTCTGAGCTCATATGAACTTTCATGTTCTCCCAGCATGCAGGCTTGCATTCAAAACTATGTCTAATAGACCAAATAAGAGGTTAATAAGAAGTGGCAACAGAAAGAAAAAATACAATCCCTGGTAACTGATAAGAATGACAGTGGCAGCCCTTTATTGTTTGTCTTCAAATATAGAGTTAAAGATCTTTAAAAAACTAAATTTTGACGCCTTTGAAAAGAAAGAAGCACAAAATAACAACAGGGGGTTATTGCCTGCCAGCCACAGGGGAGAAGCTCCATAATTCTTATTCTCCCTTTTGAAGGCTGTTAGAAATCTGATTCAAAAAAGCAACAGCAGAAGGAGAAAGCCTCTTGAGGCTATCGCCATTTCCTGTGATCATGCATAATGCGTTTCAAAAGTGGGTTTTTACCAATTCTGTTGATCAATTGCACCTCCTTCATATTCCCTCTTTTTTCTGCTGTGTTTACATCTGATGTGACTCAATGACAAGCGCTGTCTGAGACTGTGAAACAGACCTGTCATGTTGATTTATGGGCGCATCAAACCACGACTTGTCCAAACTGAAGCTCGCAGTTCATTAATTAGAGAGTTGTGACTTTGAAGTCAGCTTTCAGACTGTGGTTTTTAACATTTGGCTTAATTTATATGCTCTTGAATGTGGATCTCTAAGGAAAAAACTGAAATTCCCTTCTTGTCTTTGAACTTCTTTTGACCGCACAATAATCATTTCTTTGTCCAGAGTGATGCCTGCATCCCAGAGTCATTAACGCGCATTGAACTGCCACTGATGAGTAAGCCCTACTGAATTAGAAAAACAGCCAGCAAAACAAAGCTGAGAGCATTCTGCACAGTGATATCTCACAATTACATGCCTTCCCTCCCTGTGCCATTTCCATTTTAATTACTGTTAGTCCTTTAGATTTACATTTTAGACACTTTTTAATCTGTTCCCTTTTTATTATAGTGGCGCCCGTAAGCGCGCTATGGTTAAGGTTGTGTCAGCGTTTCCATTATAAACCCCCCTATTTTCAGGGGTTTATAACTCAGCTGGAAAAATTCACTCTGGGTTGAAACTTGGCACAGGTGGCACAGTTTGCCAAAATTTCAAGGGGGGGCCGGGGCGGGGCGGAGGCAGCCATCGGTGCGTGCTTCGAGCAGCGCCACATGCGAAGTGACACACAAGCGCTGCCGCTATCGCAGGACATCACGCAGCATCTCGTGCCAAGGGGCAGCTTTCTAGGATCTACCCAAGCCCGCACCCATGTCAGGTTAAAGACGAAAGCCTCGAACTCCTTGTGACCAGAGAGGTGAGCTCGGTGCCTTAGGAAGAAATCTAATGGCGGCAAAATGAAATTTAAGCACACCAAAGCCAACAAAGTTTAGGACGTGGCAGGTATGGGGAGAGGAAAGCCTATTTAAAGGACAGGCAGAAACTACCCTGGCCCGGCCCGGCCCTGCCATGGACCGCGGTGGCATCCGAGCGAGGCCTCCTGCCAGCACCCCGCGGACGGGCGGCGCTCCCGCACTATCTCTGCCCCTCACACCTCGCCACCGACGCTGCTCCAGCCCGGTCCCTGCCGCTAAGCCCCCGCGGCGAGCAACGTGCCACCAGCATCTCTCCGGTTGGAAACCGCAAGCCCGAACTCGACGTCTCTTGGCATTCTGCCCTGTTTAGAGAGGACAGCTCCGCAGCCGGGCCTGCTGCCTTGCCCCCTTCCCCTTTACAACATAACTAACTTCCAAAAGCACTCTCCCCCAAGATGCAAGTCTAGATGCTTGCTCCAGTGCTCATACCGAACATCAAGGCACGGTCCCCTGCTATAAAATATGTGGCAGCAAGCAAGTGGGGAGCGCAGGAAAATACAGGCGAAAACAGGACAATAACTCTAAATCTGAAAGCTGAGACCCGATAGAGTCAGTGCAGTTGTGCAATCATTTATAAGATGAATGACAGTTTAATAGCCACTAGACAGTCCCCGGGGATCTGTGGTTTGAAAGTAAAATGGGTATTGTCTGTACCTCTTTAGGCTGTTTTCCAGCATGTTGTTGCTGTAAAAGTTGAAGCTGCAACTGTTCCTGTTGTTTCTTATAAAACTCTTGAAGCTGCTGCTACAAAGAAAAGGAAAGATGGTAAGTAACAAAGTGGAGAGCCAATTCAGTGTCCCTTTTGGTGTAACACACAAACTGTGATTTGAAAAATAGCATCCTTTTATCTGTAATGGTCTGACCTTTAGTTTGAAACTCAACAATAAATTCAGTGCACACTGACTATTCTTGGCATTATCGTTTGAAAAGTAATCTCCAAAATGAACTGATGAAAAACATACCATTTTCTACACAAACTAATTAAAATAAGGCAAGGAATGACCTTTGATTGTAACAACAAAGCCAAAATGCCCTTGCTGAGAGAGCCTGGCGAATCTCTGTTGTGAAACACACATGCTTTCTAAATGATAGGGTTTGACTGTATTAAGTGTTGTTCAATACATGCATAGACATCCTGGGAAACACTCTCCTCCTCCTCCCTGCTCCCCAGATGTGCGCGGCGCAGGCAGCGCTCCGGCACGGGCGGGAAGGGAGCGCGCAAGGCCGGGCTGGGGGTGGATGCTGACGCCCACCCGGGGTCCGCGAGCCCCCCGCCGTGCCGTGCCCTGCGACGACGGAGCCTCGGGGCTTGTCGGCGGCCAACTTTCAGCTGAAAAAGGACCGCGGGCCGTGAGAAACACTGACACGCCACACGGCGTACGTTGGCCGAAATCAAAGAGATTGAGGATTGCAAACCTCTTCGCTTTCACCGCCGGCGTTTCCACGGTCCTTTACGGTTCCGGATGGACATAACGAGGTCTAAAATGGGAAGTAGCACCCCGCTACCTTGTTTAGCCCAATTAGTCAGGGCACATCATGCTTTCTGGGGGACGCAGGCAAAAGCAACGCGGACATCTGCCGGAGTCCTGACACTTAAGTATGCATCTGTATTATTTAGCTGATCTTGGAAACACTCCTAGCACTGCTCCCTGGATTTGCTTCCAGTAGCTATTTCTAGAATTAAAAACAAAAGAGCAGTCGGTTCATCTCAGAGCATGGCTGCTCCGAGGTTGGGACCTGAGATGTGGGGAGCTTCTTCCCCCAGGAACGTTTTGGGGAAGCAAAGCCCTCCGGTATCTGTAGGGGCCACCTGAGCAGCTGTTAGGGAAACAATTACCTGTTGAAGCATGAGTGCCTGCTGCTGTTGGAGCAGGACTTGGAGTTGCTGGGGAGTTAGCACTTGTTGCTGGAGGATCTGCTGCATTTGCTGGGGAGTGATCACTTGAGGTGTCATCATAGCCACCGACACTGGAACCTGAAGCGCGAGAGGAGAGCAGAGAGGGGGGTCAGAGCGCATCGCCGCAGCCCCACGCCCCGCATCGAGGGTGCCGAAGGCGAGAGTCCTCGCCGCCCACCGCAGCAGGCACGGAGCTACCAACCGCGACGGGAATCCTTCAAAACAACCAATATGGCAAACTCCGTTAAGGTTTATTTCTTTTTACAAGAAACCCTCAGCTGGGCCCTTTCCCTCCCTGAAAGCCCTTGCCTTCCGCACAGAAACCCAACAGCCGAGTGTATCCCGCGCTGATGGGATCTAGACCCTATTACGACAGGTTTTTAAGAAAATTGAAGGAAGGTTCAGTGATGTGAATAACAGCGCTAGACTCCTATGCAATTTTAACAGAAAGGCCCTACCACGATGTCTTTACCATTCCATATTCACCAAGCATACAGATGTCTTCAATTCTTTCATATTATGTGAGATACCATTAAAAGCCGCTTTCCATGACATTTCAGTGACAAACAGCTACAGTGATGAACTTGATAGCATTTCATATTTGCAACTGTTAACACGTTTCTGCACGGGCATCTTTGCAAGGAACCTGTACACTGTATCTGAAAGGATGATGTCTTGTTCAGATAAAACACTGACATTAAAATGACAGGCTGTCTTGGCCAAGGTTACACAAATTGTATTCAAGCGGATACCTAATGACAATGCTATGAATTCTGCAAGCTTTCTAGAATGTAATTTAGCTATTCAAAATAATCACTGCACTTGTGTTTAATTTGCAGACTACATGAGAACCATTTTGTCAGTCCTAGTAATGCAAGAAGACTATTTCCCTAGAAACCCACCCTTCCACCCCAAAAAAGGAAAAGAAAAAGAGGGGTAAAAAAAAAAAAACAATAGAGGAAAAGACAAAACCCATATGAGTTTTAACAGTAATATTTAAGCACCTTACTTTTCTATAGTTTCAAATCAAATACGTGACAGCACAAAACTAAAAGCAGTAAAGGATATACTTTGCTAAAAAGGATCTCCTGTCATCTCATGTATTACAATAAAAGGTAATAATATGTTTAGCACTTTTTCTGTGAACCACTTTTTAGAAAATCAGCAGACAATAGCTGATCAGAAGATAAAGGAGTTAAAAAAAAAAATCTTCTAGTGTAGTAGTAAGCAAGAGAGAAATGCAGTATTAATTTTATGTAACATAATGTCTTAATATGCAGTTTATCTTGACTTTTTCACATGATTTGTCCTGTCATTTGCATAGCAAGCTCTCATTCCTAATTTCACAGTCATTATGCACTGATGTCCTGATTTCTCAGCATCACTAATTTTGATGAACTAAAAACGGTTCCTGAAGGTCAGACGCATGCACACCGCACACCTCCCCGCGCTGGTGTGCACAGGCTGTGTGCCAGGGCCGGGCCCTGCCTTGGAAACCCCTGCCCGACGTGGGCCAGGCCGGTGCGAGCGCGGGCGAACGGAGATTTAATTACGGGTCAGACGCCCGGCCCGGCGAAGCCAGCGGCCGCCCTCCCGGGCCCAGGGGAAAGCCGCCGCCTCGGCACGCGGGACCAGCTCGGGGGACGCCGAGTCATCAGGATGGGTAATCCCATGAATTCAGGATATCTTAATCCGTAGTCTTTCAAAAACTTTCCTGGGAGTAGAAAATTATTTAACTAAATACTGCCATCGCTATCTTCGCCCCGAAGCATGACTCACCTTCATTATTCGCATCCCCAGCGAAGTTTACTTTACCCTCGGGTTTGTACTACCTTCCATTGAAGTTGGACTCAGCAAACAGAAGAGGAAGCATGTTTAAGTATGTTTTCTGTGCCCTTCTTGGAAGATAGACAACACAAATACTCTTCAGTCAGATTTATGACGACAAGCAGGGATACAGACAGGAATAGGGTGGGGTGCTGTAAACCCTACACATCGGTGATTAATACGAAGGGCCACATTCTGCCGTCAGCTATGCAGAGACAACTCCCATTCACTTCCATGGCTTTTTTGCATGTTTATCTTGGGATAAATCTAAGGATTTGGCCCTACCTTTGAAAACTGGCCATGTACCTTCCGGTGAAGGATCTCCTAGCTGCACACTCTTCTCTAGAACAGAGCACTTACCCAGCAAGAAAAAATACAGTATATATGCACATATATCACATATACAGCACACCTAAGAGTACAAGTTTGCGTTGATCCACTCGACTTCATTTTACCATCTGAAACCACATTTTCACACCACATCTGCGCCTCTAAAGAAGGTCCTGCCTTCCACTGATACACACGGCCAACAGCCACATTTAGCCACAGTTTGTGCTTCCGCCTGTCACCGAAAGCGACTTACGGAAACCTTTGACAAATCCGAATAAACCAGAAACTACCGCGTTAAAAACGACACGCACGTCCCAGAGAAGTGTGGGCACACGTATGGTTTGAGGACTTTAAATACTTAAGAATGATGGCCTATATATCCACTCTCTTAACTCCCAACGTCCAACTTTTTCATGTAGCTAGTCCCTGGTAATACTAGGAATCAAAGGGCATGCAGCACCAGCAATAGGCTATTATAGCCCACACTTTATTACCCATTACTACCGAGGTCATTAGCGGTAAGAGTGATTGTACCGGTCTTAACCTATTGATCATTGTAACTACTATCATTTAATCCCGTGTTGAATGTCTGGAAAGCTGCTAAAGGCACACAAGAGAGAGTGCTTTAGCGATGAGAAATATAGCCAAAGCTTGGAAATTACACTTTGATTCATAAAATCTAGCCAGTGGTTTAAATCAATAGTATTTAAAACAGTCATGTAAGTTCTTAACTACAGCTCTCTAATATTTATGGGTCCCTTTTTGAGTGTATTCAGTCAAAACTAAACTTTATTTTAGATACTGTGCAATATACTCTACACTACATTAGATAAAAAATATTTATTTCTGATATTTTGTCCGATAGTAAATGAAACCTAAACTGAGGGCTATAAATTAATTTTAGATTTCTATCTCTCAGATGTCAACTTAAACGTGTTGCCAAAAAAAATTACAAACCAACTTTAAAAATGGCTTAACTGTTTAAGTACATGAAAACGAGCGTGTTTTATGAGTTAACAATGAATCACAGAAGGCAGTTTATGAAGAACTAAAATAATTCTGTCTTACTGCCTTCAGGGAGTTGAAGTTCCAATTAAACTACTGGCAGATATATTTAAAGAATGCTAAGTTAGCATGCAGAGCATCTTTTTTTAAGTTGTTTATTTCTATTTTCCACATGAAACGCGATTGTTGTTATTGATATTATTAAGGAACTACTTTTGGTATTGTTGACTGATAACAATAGGGTGTGGTAGATACCCAGCTGCATGTAAACCTGGCAGCAAAGGTAAAAATACAGCTGCAATTTGGCTTTCAGAGCTGTACTAGTATAGACCTGCTGACATGCTAATACCATCAACGGCAAAAAATATCTTTAATACTCACAACTGTTTTCAGAGACTGTTTCTCCCAGGGTTTTGCCTGCTGTTCCTCGGCATCCCCCCCAAAGCCCTCCTGTTCCCCCTCCGCTAACCCCCAATTTCAAGCTCTGCAAACACGCTGTATTTTGGTGAGACCGACCAAGGAAAACTTCCAGAAACTTGAGCCAAATTCACCCTTAACTTCACAACGGAGTTACAGCAGGGATGCATTTGTCACTCCTGCATGAAACTCAGACAAGGGTCACAGGGATGAAAATGATTTAGTCCTATTTAATCATCTCCATTCCCACATTTTCAGTGAGATTAATATAATTAAATAGTAGCTAAATAATTTCAAGTAGTTTAATCTTGTATGAAGTGAAAAAAAAAAAAAAAAAAATGCCATTTTCACACAACGTGCCTTCAGTGCCGGACACGGTTGTGGTCCTGTTAACTGTTAGCAGGCATGCATGGAAGATGGGGAGGATTTCCTTAATTCGTAAAGAATAACTCTGCCAGAAAATCATTTTCTCCTGCAATGTATGTTCAAACTTGATTTCAGTAAGACCTCATCCCAGGCACCTTAGATTTCCAAACAGCAATTCTTCAGTTAAAGATTTTGTGATAAAAGTTAAACGGAGCAAAACGTAGCTGAGCACAGAAAGCGCAAGTTGCTGAGGAACAGTTAAAAATACTGGGCTGCAAATAAAAATAGATACGGCTAGGCAAACCGAACAACTAACTTGAGCCATATTATTGGAAAACTATTATTTGCAATATATTTGAAATGTAAAAAAATCTCAGCCGAAACAATGCAAAACAGCTTTGCTCATGGCACAGGGGAAGATAAACCACTGATACACCGGCAAACAGAGGAGCACGATGCCACAAGCCAGAGCAGAGCCCTGCAAAATAAGGAGTGCAGAAGGAAGGACCTGCTTCCATCCCGAGACTAAAACATTGCCGGCACAGTATTTCATCCTCCAAAAGAACAACAAAAAAATGCCCCCGTTGGAATTATTCATGCAGAAACTGCAATGCTGCTTCATTATGCAAAATGGAATCTCACTTTTAGACTTAGCTACTGTGCCATAATACAGTACAACACATTAAGACAGGTAATGTTTATTATATTAATGTAAAATCAGCTAAGTACTCTTCCATTAGCATAACTGTTCTCTCTGTAACAATACAGCTCCCTATTAAAAGGGGGGGGCCGGGGACACCCTCTTTAAAATTAAATTAGCATTTTATTATTATAATTTTGTTTACTATATTTTATCAGGAGGGAAGATCTCCCTTTGACCCACCGAAGGTAGTACGATGGGCTATGCTGACATTCCCCGGCATGTCAGGGTGTCTGCTGTCTTCAGTATTCTAGCTAAGGAAAAATGGGAATATTTTCGTATTTGTTTACAGAATGAAACATCTGATCTTATCTACCACTTCTCATGCATACCAGGTTTCTCACTAAGTGCCAGGATAATTGTTTCTGCTATAATAAATACCCATTTAATTTGCATAAAAATATAAAGTTTACATAAATTAAATCCTTTCTAC